TTAAAGTCCTTCTAATGTGAGACAGCTGTGAACTGATGATGAGATCTAATGAGTGACAGGTGATGCAATAGATGATGAGTCCGGCAAAGGATTGTGGGGAATGTAGTCCAGGGTGAATGGCAAAAGTCAGGGATGGAGTGCCCACTGGTGGAGCTCATGGGCACTCCAGTTGGTGATCGTGACACTTTGCTTATATGTTTATTTTTGTAAAATTGTCTTTTGTGCTATCATCCACACATGCAAAGTTGATTGATAACATAACTGCAATAACAGTCTAAATAGTCCGAATATAAACACTTATTATAGGTGTACCGTAGTGATTCAGGACAAGCCAAAAAACATTTGAACCCATGATTGAATTCGTTTAATTGATTACTTGAATTAATTAAAAGCAAACCTTTATGAATATTGACTCAAGTAAGTAAAGCAGCTCATTAGAAAAATACTTAACTAAAAGTATTCAAATAACTGATATGAATAATACTTATGTATTTTTACAATTTAAAATAGCTTTTTTTTCTATTTCGTCATATGCTACAACCGAATCAGAGGAAAAAGTTTTTAATTTTGTTTCTAGCCCTTATGGTGTAAAAGTTATTCATATAAACATAAGTTCAACTTTAAGCTGTTGATGTCACGAGAGTCTGAAGTAGTTACAAATTTTCTGTGGTTAATGTTCAGACTGAATTCTATCTGTGTGCCAAATTTCACAACTTTTTACCATATGCCATATAGATTTACTCATAAAATTTAAAGTCCAATACATGACTATTGGCAACATTAAATTATAAACCGGTTCTCCAGGGTTACATTACATCGTCTTTTTTATTATTAAATGGCCTGTTATTAAATTAAATATTTTCAGATTCCTTTTAAAATGTTCATGTACTCACAGAATACTCACTGAATCATTCTCTGATATACACTCTTAAAAATAAAGGTGCTTCAAAAGGTTCTTCAAGTCTAATTTATCAGTCTATACATTAAAATAATGGTTAAAACATCAAATGTTTTCATTAATTGAATTAATTAAATCAAGTATGAATCAAAATGCACAAATGTTTTGAGAAGACAAACAGTCACATGTCGGTGCAAAGACAAACTACTAGCTATTTATTTCGACTAACTAGCTGAAATAAAATATATATATATATTTTTTTTTTTATTTAAATTTATTTATTCCAGTATTTTTTCAAGTAACATTTTTCTTTTTCTTTTATTTTAGTAAACTATAATAACATTCTAAAAAATGCTGGGTTATATTTAACCCAGCATTTTTTAGAGTGAAACCTGTTAACTTCTTTTAAAAACATTAAAACATTTTTAAGATTCCAAACTGGAGGGTCTGGTGGTGCAATGTTAAAAACAAATAAATTAAAATTTTGAAACAAAAAATTTATTTGTATATTAATTAAAAATTCATTGAAAAAAGTAGCCTAAGCCTACAATGACAGTAAGCAACAGTAAAACACGAGTTAAGTTGAATCAAAATGACTGTGAAAGCCGTTTCAACTCATTAAACGGACTTAAAAAAATATCTGTTGCCATGAGTTTTTGATCATATTATTACATGTAACATGTCTGTGCCGTACCCAAATTAAGAATTAATGACCATTTCTGCAGCCTTTGTAAAAAGACAGGAGAGAAGCGCGAGAGCGTCTATTCATATTTGTCACGTGACGTCACACCTTTACAGGAACGTCCACATGGACGGCAAAGCAAGGTTTTCCTCCACTAACCGCCAGTTATTTTTACGAGGTTTGCATTAAGTAGTAATGTGGTAAGACAGTGATATGTAAAGCCCAAATTCAGTATACACCTTATTGATGATGCATACTTTGTACAGGCAAGCAGATGAACCCAGAATATAAATGAAATGCACAAAGTTTAATAGGCCTTTATAGGCGTTTATATAGGCTTAACAGGCGTTTAATTTGCTTGCCTGTCTAAAGCATGCATCATCAATAAGGTGTGTACTGAATTTGATCTTTTAATATCACTGTTTTAAAGGCACTTTAAAGGGGTCAAATGATGCGATTTCAAGTTGTCCTTTCTCTTAGGAGTGTTACAAGCTGTTCGTGAATAGATAAGATCCCTAAAGTTGCAAAGACTAAAGTCTCAAATCCAAAGAGATATTCTTTATAAAAGTTTAGACTGGTCCAGGCCCTCCTAAACCGCCTCGTTCAAACACGCCCCCACAAGTCTGAACTGTCAGTTTTGTTTTAAAGGGGTCATATGATGCGATTTCAATTTTTCCTTTCTCTTTGGAGTGTTACAAGCTCTTGGTGCATAAAGAAGGTCTGTAAAGTTGCAAAGACTAAAGTCTCAAATCCAAAGAGATATTCTTTATAAAAGTTAAGAGTTAACCACGCCTACCTAAAACGGCTCGTTCAAACCCGCCCCCACATGTCTACGTCACTATGTGGGAAGATTTGCATAACGCCACCCAAATGTTCACGCAAAGAAAGAAGGCTGAACTTTATTGTTGCTGCCACCGCCGCCGCCATGTTGTGAAGATGCTGTGATGCTTGCGAAAAGTTTTGCAACTTTTCGTTGCGAAAGTGAAAATACTGTGTTTGGCCTTCCAAAAGAGGACACGACTAGAAATCAGTGGTTAAGTTGTACTTATTTTATGGAGGACTGTTTCCTGATCCTGGTAGAGTAGACTACAATGCCGGCTGTTCTGACTCACAGACTGTAAGTACGTTTTCATATTTAAAGGATTTGCCACTGATGATTCAAACGCGAGTTTTGAGCAGTGTTGAGTAGCACTTGTAGTTTGTCATTTCTCCGATCACAAATACAGACATGGTTTTATGTTTA